TATAACCTCACATTTGGTCCGCTTTCTGGTTGGTGGGCTGGCGTCGACGAAGGGAGAATAGAGAGCCCCTTACGGTCTCCTGAGCAGTGGAATGAGTTGCTCAAGCAGACTGGCTTCTCTGGCGTCGATCTAGCTGCGTACGATCTTCCCGGACCACACAGACATAGCTGTCTGCTACTGTCGACTGCCTTGGCCAGTGAAACTACCAATGGGCATTGATTCCCTTTAGTTAGATTTATCGGAAATGTCTAAAGCTACGTTTGAAGTCACGTTTAACACCATCTCTGTACATGCCAATTTTATTCAAATCTATTTTTCTCTATCGATATTGAAATAAGCCTTCATTGACATAGTCAAACCGTGATAAAGCGGTAACCCTGCTCTGCTCCCGAATCCCGGTGCGTCGGTTCAGATTCAGTCCTACAAGAGCGAAAATTTTGTAGCACGAGCACCTACCGATATCGGAATGTGATTGACGTGCGTTGAAGGTAAGCTGCATGTGCACATCTGCCGAACGAATATGCGTGCAGACATGAAACACCAATTACAATACAAACACACAAGCGCTACCGAAAGTCCCCACGCTCGGTGGTAGTGCTCGGGAGCAGACAACGACAGCCGAAGAGTAACCCTAGGCTACGTCGGACCTCACAGCAGTGCATGAAGACTCTCTCAAGTAAGCGAGATAAATAAAGCAGTTTACCACTATGGAGGTGCAGAAGGCTCCCTGAAATTGCATTCCATCCCCATGGCCGAACCTATCCAGAAGAAGCGCCTTTTGCGCATGACGGTGGCCCACTATCGCCAACCTAATGTCAGTGAAGAAGATTTCTATCATTGGGTGACCGAACAGCATGCCAGCCGTGCAGCCAAGTTACATGCCAAAAATGGGATAGAAGGGTTTTCTATCGTAAGTACAGAATTGAGATGGAATCTACGAGAGAATTTCAAAGTAACAGCAGTCTCCCTAGTTCTTTGCCCCCAAGTCCTTTCGTGAGTTCACAACGGAACTCAACAACATGCGCGGCAACCCATGGCGGATTCGAGAATTTGACGCTCAGGTAGAGTTCTTGTTTCGTGACATGGAAACGTTCTATAAGGGCGCAGCAGATGCGGACTTCCAGGCGCTTCAGGCAGAGGAGGGGCCGTTTATCAGCGGTGAGGGCGCAGAAATTAGTATCGGCTGGATTGAGACATACGTCAGTGATGGCAAAGTAGTCAACATTGATGAGGCTGGTAAACCTACTTTCCCAGGCTTTACGGAGATGAGCAAGGCGCCATAGAGGGAGATCCTTGCCATGGTACAGATGGAGATCTAACAGATCAATTTGACCGAACTACTATACGATGTCTTCGTACTTGAACTAGTCAAGATACATTAGACTTGGGTCGGTTTCTGAAATTGTACGCATCAGGGCTTTTTTTGTAATAGCACACTATCTTCATATATATTTGTCTTTTGGAAACCACCACCATATCTTTTTGATATGAAGAGCAGACACCACCCGCCTACTGCATGTAGCAGGTACCCCATGATCAGAGCATAACACGCCCAAGAGCCAATTTCGAAACAATATGCACCAGCTGTAAAGTGGAATCCTCATTGGCTTCAATTGCCTGCAGAGTCACCTTTGCTACGCTAGAAAGCCCACCACGGGCATCTGCAACCCCATTCATACTGCGCTTCTCTGTGGGCGGAGGGCCCGAAGCGACAGACTTTGACGCCAATCCGGTGACAATGCTAGATGTAGGTCTCATAATCTCCCGTATCAGGGAATGCATGTGCATCACGTTTGTCTCCAGAATGCACGCCAACACAACCGTTTGAATTGACGACGTCTTGGGTAGCTCAAATGACCCGACAGCCAGGCTTGGAAGCTGGGTCGGGAAGCAAAAGTTGCTCTCCTCGTCATTCAGAGTGGTAACGCTGCCTCTGACGCCCATCTTCAGCCGTACCTCTAACCATGCCTTGATATGCTGTAGGATTTTGTCATAGGATTCGAGAAGGCACAGGTAGCTGGAAAGAATAAGCAATTGGGACGGTTGGTCCAATGTGAACTGTGCTAATGTCTGGGCGTCGTTGGATGCCCTGCATGACTCGAATCCAGCGCAAATGCTGGTTAAGAGTGCCGTGTATTGACCTGATAATTTAATTGTGCAATCCACTGGAAGCCGTGTTTCCCCTTCCATGGAGCTCAGTGAGCTTCCTGAACTACTCCGCGACCTTTGTCCTGTTTCAACCACGGGTATTGACTGCATGTGCTGGTGAAGCTGAACATTGGTATCCGACAGCATGCGAATCCAGGAAGTCATATTTGATTGATGTGTCTCAGAGGCTGGATCCGAAGGCTCATCTTCTTCTTGCTGATTGCCCCGCAGCTGTGGGCCTGGATTTTGTGCATCATCATCATAAGGTGACTGTAGTAGATCGGATGGAGATAATTCGTTACCATAGCCAGAATCTGTACCTGAATCTTTACCATCAGAGCCTTTCGGATTCCCCCCTGCTTCATCAAATTCCGGCATCATGTCATCTTGAGATTGCTGGTGTGTATGGTGTGCATTCTGAGGGGACATGTTTCTCCCCAGCGATACGCGATGCCTGGAATAGGTCGAGGGGAAAGAGGAGTGCACCGTGGTCGACAATGAGAAGTCGCACATATCGTTTGACGTATGTTGACTGGGAACACCATTCCAGCTTGTTTGTACCGCTTGTTCACCGGTTCTTAGATGAGACGGCGCTTGAGGGTATGACTGTTGATTGGCGTGAAGACTTTCTCCCCGTGGACCATACCGTGCCGTCAGTGTAGGCTGGGTGTCGGCTTGCAACGAGGATGAATCCAGTCCGAGATTCAAGTCGGTTGGCATATCGAGCAAGCTCATCGGCAGATAATTGAAGTGGTCTGAGATGTCGTTGTTTGTATCATCGCCTTCTTCTTGATCTAGTGTGACCCGAGTAAGCCTCGCATCATTTACGCGGAGTAGCTATCGTACATTGCCTACTTACCATGATGTTGTTGTGTACTATCATTATCGGCATGGGGTTGCGACTGCTGCTGAGTATTCTTGTTGGATTGGGTTCGAGACCGCAATCTCATCGGCCGTGGGGTACATCGAACGCCAGCCCTAGTACAGCGCACACAAGTGTTGCTATTACTCTCTCGTCGACAACGTAATTTTTGGCCATGGCACCGGTCGCAAGCTCGATGAGAAAATCCTAAGTCGTGAACAAGCATGTTCATTTCACGTTCGGCTAACGATGGGACTCGGGCTCTGCAACTGCAAGTAGTGCACGGGTCTCCTAATTGGAGAAACGTTGAACAGAAAAGGGAACCCAAGAAGCACGAGCTATATACCGAAAATTGTGGGATATCGGGATTTTCGGTGTTTCGTAACGTCCCAATTGACAGACTTAACCGTTTTCGAGTCTCACTGCACACTCGTATTTTGCACTAAGCTTACGCCCTTGGCAGATAATGGACATCGTGGGCCGACATGATAGACATTGTCATTGGCCAATAATTGGGATCTGCATCACTAGTCACCTAGGTAGCATCTGGGGCGCTTCGAACAGGGGGCGGGCCGAGGCAAATCGAAGTGGATCGTCGTCAGGCACCCAGAAGGGCATAGAGCGTAATCATCACCTTCATTGTTCCCGTATGCATGTTACTCCATGCACTAACTCGGCTTACACCTTCTCAATTTAGACGACGGCCCAATTACATTCAGAGAATGAGGCAAACCGGATTGGTTCCGCCTTGGCATCAAACCGATGGGGCCCTGAAGGATTGCAACACGTCGGCCGGCGACGGTTGTAAGTGGGGTTATCTGCCTGTTCTTGGTAATAACTTGCACTGGAGACGCATAAGCGTGCATGATTAGCGTCCCGTCCTGTAAATGTCACCCCATTTGCCCTATATAGGCAATTGCTTGTAGTAATCCCATACAAGCAGATCGGCGGATCAACCAGATCACCCAATAACCATATATTTTCGTGCTAGGATTCACCATTAGCCGCGAACGTCAATTTATCTAAGATTGCTGATATCATTTAGATGTCTAAGTTATCTGATATCCCAGGAAGATGGCTATCCTTGACTTTTGATCTAATGTATCGCCATGTTTGGCCTCTTGCCACGATCGACGCCTGGTATTGTCTCGGAAAATTCATGACATTTCTAACGAAGTATATCTCACGTACGAACGCGGGGTTCTTCACCTCAAGATGAAACAGTACTAGACTTGATTGGGTTCGACTAGTAACCGAGCGATAAATGTATATGTATTTGGAAACGTGTTAACATAAGCCTGGTTCGTAGGCTATGGCTGATGTAAAATACCGTCTAAATGACAGTAGTGTGGATGCAATGCAAAACGTCGCCCTAATGCATGGCCCACTTCTCATTGTCCAGGCTGTGTACTCGGAACATGTTCCTCGATTGTTGAAGTCTTGTTAACATGGCATCCATTTGGCTAGAATGACCCCCCTGCTATAGTTTAACCTTGTTAGAAAAGGTGTAAGGTTAGTAATTGTATCTTATCGAGTAGTACTCGGTAATACTAAAGCTTTTTGATTTCTCTATAAGATCTAGCGAGTGGCGTGGGCACTGTAGGCGGGGTCCCTTCCGATCCGCAGACCTAGACAATAGATATTTGCCCCTCGGAGGGGATCGGTTGGATTTTGAAATGTCGTTACGTGAATCATTGTTACCGCTAAAAGTGCATATCCTAAGAGGTCAGTTAACAAACCTTGTTAGCACAGCGGTATAGGCAGCTGAAAGAGTTTAATACATTTTGGCCTGATCTAGCATGGTGAAATACAGTTACGCTGACATTCCTAATAGGGTTAGATTATAGCAGGGGATCCATTCCAGGCAGGTGGTAGTCATTTTAGTAAAACACGTTTTTTTATCCTCTGTGCTGGCACAATATTTGGGCCCCCAACCTGGCTTTCGTTTTTCCTCGCCAATGCAGGCTACGACCGACCAATTGTGCTGAACATGACTGCCGACCCATCAAAGCTTCTCGAGACGCCGAGCATCAGCGGTAAGAGTCTGAAATCTCATACTCGACATATACACCCAGCGGTAACACCAGCTAATACGCCGCATAGATTCTGGTGGAAGTGGATGCCCCGGCGCAGCAAACGTCACTTCGAAGGAAGCGGAGGACTCGGACGAGGATGTCGCTGGACATACCACAGCAGTAGCTGTTGACGGCGCTGCCAAGAAAAAGAACAAAAAGAGGAAACCCAAGAAGAAGCAACAGAAAGTCCAGACCGATCCGCCATCGATCCCTATATCGCAGCTATTCCCAAACAACACCTTTCCCAAGGGCGAAGAGGTCGAATACAAGAACGAAAATCGGTACCGAACCACCAACGAGGAGAAACGGTACCTTGACAACCTCAATAGCGAATTCCTCTCTGACTATCGTCAGGCAGCTGAGGCACATCGTCAGGTCCGTCAGTGGGCACAGAGAAGCATCAAGCCAGGTCAAACGCTCCTCGACATCGCCAACGGCATTGAGAATAGCGCGCGACGTCTGGTTGGCCATGATGGCTTGATCGAAGGCGACTCACTGATAGCCGGCATGGGATTTCCCACAGGTTTGAATATCGACAACGTCGTCGCCCACTATAGCCCAAACACCGGTTGTAAGACGGTGCTTACGCCGAACAATGTACTCAAGGTCGATATTGGCATTCATGTAGGCGGTCGGATTGTAGACAGCGCCTTTACGATGGCGTTCGATCCTAAGTATGACAACCTACTCGCTGCCGTCAAGGATGCAACAAATACTGGTGTGAGCGAAGCTGGCATCGACGTTCGGGTGGGAGAACTGGGCGGTTATATTCAGGAGGCGATGGAAAGCTACGAGTGTGAAATCAACGGCAAAACTCACCCGATCAAGGCGATTCGCAACCTGTGCGGCCACACAATCCTTCCATACTCTATTCATGGCACCAAGAGTGTCCCCTTTATCAAGTCAGACGATATGACAAAGATGGAAGAAGGGGACGTTTTTGCTATCGAAACCTTTGGCAGCACCGGTAGCGGCCGATACGTGGAAGGAGGCGAAGTCTCGCATTACGCATTGCGTGGTGATGCGAATAGAAAAGACTTGACTTTGTCATCTGCCAGATCGGTTTTGGGAGCTATCAAGAAGAACTTCAGCACGATCCCTTTCTGTCGACGCTATTTGGACAGGATCGGGCAAGAGAAGTATCTCCTCGGTGTAAGAACTTCCACTATGGCCTTATTGGAGCTCTTGACTAACAGAAACATAGTTGAATCACCTAGTAAAATCCGGGATTGTTGAAGATTATCCCCCTCTGAATGAAAAGCAAGGGACTTATACGGCACAGTTTGAACATGTAAGTCATTTGGAACTTTCTGAAGAAGATATAAATACTAATGCTGGATAATAGACCATTCTACTTCGACCAAACGTCAAAGAGGTCATTAGTCGGGGGGATGACTTTTAAATGTTCAATATTGGTGTTTTTCATTGATTAGGGTGGCTTCATACAGTTACAGAAATAGGTATCGTGATTCGTGAGTAGATACTCAGAAAATGACAAGTACCAAAAGAAAAAAAGGGAACTACGTTGTTCTATTCCTACGTTCCGCATCTTATAAATTATTGCCTCCACTTTTCATAGCTTCAAATAATGAATGTGTTTGACTTCTAGATCGGGCTATACTTGCGCATCTGCCGATGTTTCGGGCGGATTGATCTTCGGTTTAGGGTATTCTAATTTTCGGTCTTACATACTGCTTATGCCCCGCCTGAAATCTCTGGCCCGCTCTGGATTCTAGTCGGAGCGATATGCGCCGGATCGGACTGCCATTGTACTTGTATATCCGCTTCTATGCATATAAGGATTCATAAATATTGCTGGCTAACACTGTTCTTATCCGGTGTAGACCACAAATATCTGACTACATTGGCAAGCATCGACGCTCTCTTTTACACAGACCAAACACTTTCTACCATGGCTGGCATTGCACAACAGTTAATCGAAAGGATTGACACCGTCGACGCGGCCATTTTTGAAGGCCAGGATGCCACGCGACAGCGGCTGGCTCTGGCGGCCCGGAAACTCTTCCACAAGCTAGAGACGAAGGAAGAAAAAACAATGCGACTCGCCATAGAGGAACCAATCATGTTCTCTGTGCTTCAAACCCTCATCGATATTGGCATGTTTGAGGCGTGGGCTGCTGCTGGTGGGGGCGAAAAAGATGTGAGCGAGTTGGCCAGCCTCAGCAAGGAAGATATAGAACCTGAGCTTCTATGTATAGCTTTCCTACCTCTATCATAGTGACATTGAATATGTATACTAACTAATTCACGAGGTCATCAACTACGACTGATGGCTGCCAACCACATTATCCAGGAAACGGCAAACGACCGCTATGCACCTACGCCTTATTCCCTCGCAATCGGAGATAAGAGCACTCAGATTGCCCCAGGTCTTCGCATCAGGTGAGCTTCAACCTCTACTGACGGTGTATCTATCGACCCCAGACGGACTAACGAGCAATGAACTACTAGAACAGATCACGTCGCACCATGTGCCATGCACTGGCCCAATTTCTTAGCCAAGACCAACTACCGTAAACCGGTAGACGACGAGGCTAGCTGCTACATCGATACCTTCCCCGAGAAGAAGAGCTTCTTTGAGCGATGTAGCGCAAACCCCGTACACCAGGAGAGTTTCTCATCCTTTATGGATGTGTGGGCGAAAGGAAAGAGACCTTGGCCGCAGTTCTACGACACACAAGCACTGCTCGACGGCGCCGACCTTAGCGATGGTAGTCCTTTCGTTGTGGATGTTGGCGGACACCACGGCATCGATCTTATGCGCGTGGCTGAGAAACACCCAGACCTTCCCGCTGGGTCCCTTGTGCTGGAGGACCTACCAGAGGTTGTCGGTCCTGTCAATCTCACGACGGACAAAATAAGGACTGTGGCACATGATCTGTTTCAGGAGGGCGTTGAGCAGCCCATTAAAGGTGGGCACCTGGTCGTCTACCTGTGCAGTGTCCAAGGAGGCTAACCGGAATGTAGGAGCTCGAGCGTACTTCATGCATGCCGTACTGCATGACTGGTCAGACGAGACATCTGTCAAGATCCTTAAACAGATCGGCGCCGTCATGAAGCGCGGCTACTCGAAAGTGCTTATTAATGATATTGTGATCCCATCTACGGGTTCCAGTTGCTACCAAGCGGCCATGGACTGCCTTGTATTGCAGGCTTCGGCTAATGAAAGGACAGAGGCCGTGTGGAGCAAGGTGATTCAGGATGCTGGTCTCAAGCTAGTCAAGTATTACCCAGATGGTCGTGGGTACGAGAGCATTATTGAGGCCGAGTTGCCATGAACAGAGCCGTATTGCTTGTATCTAGAAGAAAAATGAGACCAGCCCTTTCATGTGCCGGCTCGGCACACCCCTCGATCGGCATAGATATATTTGTGGAAGTGCAAATAGATTGCCTACAGCGTTGAGAGCTTGGCGCTACATTAACTCGTCGTGGTATACTTGCGCGAGCTGTATTGTTCAATAAAATTAAATTGGATCTCTTCTAAGAAATATGGTGTAAAGCCTCCGTGGGTCAAATAGACAACCGACCAAGCAGGACGTTCCTAAACAAAAATTCGGCTTCTGCATCCCATGACGAAGGCGCCAAACAACGGAAAAAGCAAAGACAAAATTTGCATGCCCAAAATATGAGCCCTTCCGTTATATGTATCAAAATCGGTCTTATAAGAACTAGAAGTCTAGATATTTCTTCATAAAATCAAGCTGCCTCTGGAGAACTTCTTCTGCTCCCTCTCCGTTAATGACATCCATATGACCTCTACCGGCCACTAGATCGAACTCTTTTTGTGGCTCGGCGATCATATCAAATACAGCTTTCTGATCGGCGGGCGTCGAGATAGTGTCCTCGGCGGGGGTAACCATCATGGCCGGCGTCCCTTTGATCAGGCGCATTGCGCCATACGGCTGCCATGCCAGCACGTGGTAGTAGCTCTGGACTGTTGTTTGGTTGGTAAAGAACGAGGTGCCAAGGAAGGCTCGAAATTGCTCCATGTTGTATTGGTTACCCCAACCAGCTGGGTTGTAGCCATCGTCACCGACAAAGGGAATGTAGACCGGGTCATTACCTGCGATAGCAGAAACACGATCCTGCATAGCCAAGGCCATGACGTTATTCTTTTCCTTCTCTCTAAAGTCGTAGTTGGCAATAGGCGTCACAGATATAACCGCTCCAACACGGTGGTCGAGACCAGCCGCAACAAGTGCCGTCATGGCACTGAATGAGTAACCATAGAGGGTGATCTTGTCCTCATCGACCATGGGATGACGAGCCATGAAGGTAAGAGCATCGTGGAAATCCTCCACAAGCTTGGCGGGTTTGACATCATTGCGTGGTTCGCCGTCACTCGCACCGATACAACGATTATCATACAGCAACACAGTTACTCCCTGCTGCTGAAACCAGCCCGCAACGTCTGGTAATAAAATCTCTTTTGGGGTGTTGAACTAGAAATATTCAGGGGACTGTGTTTCCAAGTAAGGATACATAACCGTACGTACCCCTTGATTCATGACAATAGCTGGCCCACGGATTGTCCCTGGGTAAAGCCATCCACGTAACGTCAACCCATCAAAAGTAGGAAACTCAACATCCTCGCGATTCATTGTAGACAGTCCGTGCTCTCTGCAGTAGCACGCAACAAAGTTTTTAAAATGTATGCAGAGCTACCATTCATGTTGTATATATCAACGCGAAATGTGCAACAATGTACTGCAATCCGAACATGGGGGTGGTTTCGGTGTGGATATCGGTGATATTTCGGTGCCGATTGCCTGAGCTAATTGTGGGCCGAAGAAGCTAAGGACGCCGATTCGATGGCTGGATATATGGGCCGTGGGGGCCGTATTGGTAACATGATGTCCTTACTCCAGAATCCGTGTAGTTTCTAGCCCCACATTCAAGCCGGGATAGTGTCAGACATAGAATATCGAGATACCGGAAAGACTGGGATCATCTAAATCAGTATTTAACTATAATTCTCCGCCTAATAGGCCGCCAACTCGAACATTCCAAGTCATTTTCGTCATTTTCCTCCTCATTACCACAAACGCGAAATGACCGTCACGAATGGTAATAAACACATCCAGCATGCTCCAGAACCTATCGCCATTGTTTCTGCAGCCTGTCGGTTACCGGGTCATGTGAGCAATCCGCACAAATTATGGGAGCTCCTTCAGTCTGGCGGCATTGCCGTTTCCAATGAGGTGCCAAAATCTCGTTTTAGCTCCGAGGGACATTTCGACGGGTCAGGCAGGCCTGGCACAATGAAAGCCCTGAGCGGCATGTTCATAGAGGATATTGATCCCGCCGCCTTCGATGCTTCCTTTTTCAACCTCACACGGGCTGATGCTATTGCCATGGAGCCCCAGCAACGTCAGCTTCTTGAGGTGGTTTATGAGTGCTTCGAGAATGGTGGTATACCAATTGAGGAAGTGAGCGGGAAACAAATAGGTTGCTATGTTGGCAGTCTGAACGGCGGTAAGAGCCTGGAGATATTTGGATTCTCAGATAAATCCTTATCATGTCCCTTTTGCAAACATAAGTCGGGATCCTGACTGATCTAGATTACCACGACATGCAGATGCGAGATCCCGAGCAAAGAATGCCAGGTCATGCGGTTGGCACTGGTCGTGCCATACTGAGTAATAGGATTAGCCACTTTTTCAACCTAAAAGGATCTAGGTGAGCATTCCAAGATACCATGGGACAAGTTGATCCTCGATTTGACCGTACCTAATACTGACTTCATCCTCGTAGTTTTACAATCGATACAGCGTGCTCTAGCGGACTTGTTGGGGTAGATGTAGCCTGCAAGAATCTCCGGGCGGGGATATTGACCGGCGCAATCGTGGCTGGTGTCAATTTGTGGCTATCACCTGAGCACACTGAAGAGACAGGTACCATGCGGGCAGCATACTCAGCTAGTGGCAAGTGTCACACTTTTGATTTCAAGGCTGATGGTTACTGCCGAGCCGAGGCAGTTAATGCTGTGTACCTGAAGCGCCTGTCGGATGCTGTGAGGGACGGCGATCCTATCCGTGCATTGATTCGCGGGACGGCAAGTAATAGTGACGGGTGGACTCCAGGAATCAACAGCCCCAGCTCCGAAGCTCAAGCGGCGATGATTCGCGAAGCATATAAGGATGCTGGGATTGACAAGGTCCAATACGCGGAGACGGGATACCTCGAGTGCCATGGCACTGGTACACCGGCCGGAGATCCTCTTGAAGTCAAAGGCGCTGCATCAGTGCTGGCTCACATGCGTCCACAAGAGTACCCCTTAATCATCGGTTCGGTGAAGAGCAATATTGGGCACTCGGAGCCAGGAGCAGGTCTCTCGGGACTCATCAAGGCTATGTTGGCTGTTGAGGAGGGCAAAATCCC